CTTGGCAGGAATGGAAGGCTCTGTTTGTCTTCCACCTGTTTGGATCCCTCCACTCAGACAGCTTCCCCTCCATGCCAAAGACGTGGGAACAGAGAACAGTAACTTTTGGAACCCACCTTTGTTGTTCCAAATCACTTTTTACCATGTGGTGCTGGGAAAAGTCAGGTTGCTATTCCAGATGGGCACCTCCATTCAGATCATGGCTGCTCAGTTGCTCTTCAACAGTGTCAGGAAAGTTACCTTCATTTTCCCATGCCTTAGTGTCTTTGCCTCCTTGAACTGTGGCAAAGATGCAGCGTCCATTCATCTAGTAATTATTTATCGACTTCTGGGAAGACAGTGTTGCATGAGCCAGCAGATCCTTCCCTGCCTGGCGCTCACAGTCTAACAGGGCCAAGGCAATTAGAGACCTTCTAGAAATAATATTGAGAAGCTAATTCCACATGTCGGTGATACATGAGGCCAACAGGAAATGACCTCAAGTTGAAGCAAAGACTCAGTGTGACAGATGAAGCCAAGAACCTGAGAAGGCGTAGAATCCAGGCAGGGTGAGCCAGTGGAACTCTCAGGAAGTATGACTCGGTTGTGACTGTCACTGAGAAGACACAAACCACATTAACTGAAGAAAGGTGTGCCAGCACAGGCGCAGAGAAGAAAACAAAGCAGCACATCCGGGGCCTGTCCCAGGGAGAGGGGAGGCCTGCTCACCTGCGCAGAGAGCCTGGGAAGAAGCAGGGGGGTGGGGCCGAAGCAGGGATTTAGAAACTGAGTTTGAATTCCAGTTTTGCCATTTATTGGGTATTAACCTCAGACAAGTCACTCCACTCTCTCAGCTGTAGCTTGGTCAAACTAAAGAAAGAAAGAAAGAAAAAGAAAAAAGGTTGCAGATGTGTGACTGATGAGCCACATCCCCAGCCCTATTGCTTTATTTAGAGACAGGGTCTCACTGAGTTGCTTAGTGCCTCGCTTTTGCTGAGGCTGGCTTTGAACTTTCGATCCTCGTGCCTCAGCCTCCTGAGCTGCTGGGAGTGTGCCACCAGGTGTGGTGTGCCACCATGCCTGGCCTAGCTTTATTTTTTTCTAATATCAGAAAGAATCGGGTGAGGAAGAGCTGTGTTTTAATTATATTATTGCCAAGCTGCTCAGTGTTTTGCCGAGTTGAACGAAGTCCATTGATCTTTGCGGAGGAACGTGTGCTGCGGAGCCGAGTCAGCCTGTCTGTGTTATTAACTTGCTCAGAGCTTTTTGTGGCCGATTGATTTTAAAAGCCCCCAACAAAACAGAGGATTTTATTTAATAGAAATATTGTCAGGATGGCATTGAGATTGGGGTTTGATTTTTCAAATCTTTCAATCTAAATTGAATGAAGTCTTTTCTCTGATTTTTCTTTCTTTCTTTTTTTTTTTTCCAAGTCTTTATTTTTATTTGTTTATTTTTATGTGGTGCTGGGGATCGAACCCAGGGCCTCATGCATGCAAGGCAAGTGCTCTACCACTGAGCTACAACCCCAGCCCTCTGATTATTTTTTTTTTATGTCTATAAGAATCACATGTTGGAGAAATAGGGCTGTACCCTGAAACATGAGGGAAATTGGTTTTAGGATCCCAAGGATATCAAATCCAGAGGATGCTCAAGTCCTCATAAAAAATGCCATAGTGTTTGTATAGAACTCAAGCACATCCAAGTATTTTTTTTTTTTTTTAATGGTACTGGGGATAGAACTCAGGGATATTTACCACTCAGCTACATCTCCAGCCCCCCTCCCTTTAAAATTTTTTTTTTTAGTTGTAGTTGGACACAATATCTTTATTTATTTATTTATTTTTCTGTGGTGCTAAGGATTGAACCCAGGGCCTCACAAATGCTAAGTGAGCGCTATACTGTTCAGCCCCAGCCCTAGCCCCTCCCTAGCCCCTTTTTATTTTCAATTTTGAGACAGCATCTCACTAAGTTGCTGTGCTGGCTGCAGACCACCTTGCCTCACCTCCAGAGTAGCTGGGGTTACAAGCGTGCCTCACCACGCCTGGCTTTCCCACATACTTTAAATCATTAGTAGGTGATTTATAATACCTAATGCAATGTAAATGCTATGTAAATAGTTTTTATACTGTATCATTTAGGGATAATGACAAGGAAAAATGTTCAGGACAGACATTTTTTAACAAGAATATTTTCCACCCATGACTGGTTAAATCTGCGGATGCAAACTTGCAGAATGAGGGCCCAAGGTGGTGGATCCTGGCCCCTGGGGAGGTGATATTTGCTTCAAGTGTCTTGTGACTTCACCCTGCAAGTAGAGCTTTCTTTTCCAAAGATAAGGACTTGGGTTTCACAACATCTGTTACTATTATTTACAACTTACAAGGTCTGTTGGCATTTGAGTGAGGGTGGGTGGCCAGGTGAGTGTGTGGGTTTCTGTTCAAGAGGAACACACAGAGAAAGTGCTTAAGAAGAGTGTTTCTGTGGCTCTTTGCAAAGCGAATTCCAGATTTCTGCCCTCCAGTCAGGAAAATGTGGCCCATGGCTCATGCTCAGGCACTTGGAGCTCCTTCTGCAGCCTCTTCATCCTCAATTTGATTCAGTGCAGAAACATCTGGATCCATTTCATAGATGAGGTTCTGAGTGGATTCCTTGCAGCCATGAAAGTTAGGCTTCTCTAAAATTGGTTTAACACCAATCCTAAACCTATTGGCATTCCTGCTACATTTTACAATTCTTCATGTGCCCCTTGAAAAGTAAACTTTCTAGAGAAAAGAGAATATCTGGTCCACGGTACAGGTACAAGGGGCCCTCAGAAATGGTCACAGCTGATTTGAGGTGTGCCACTGGTTCAGGGGGCCCATTGCCTACCCCCTACCCCCAAATCTTGTTGGAGGCTGCTGGTAGCAAACTTTTCCTTCCCTTCCCTTCAATTCTCTCCTTCTTTACTTCTGCAGTACTAGGGATGGGCCCCAGGGCCTTGTGCATGCAAACATTTTCTCAAAGTGTCAAGGAGTAAATGCATTTGACTTTGCCAGTCATACTGCAATCACTTGGCCCTGCTGAATGCCAGTGAATAGTTGTTTAAAAGCAACTTCAGAGAATATGATAGAGGATTGAATGTGACTGCATTAATGAAAAAACTTAATAGGCCACCAGCCTACAGTCCCTGGTTTGCTGACCCCTGCATAGACCATCATAAACTTCTTAGATCTTTTTGAGTATGAAAACCATCATTTGGAATAAGAAATTCATTTGACTATAAATGATATATATTTCAGAAAAAAATAAGATTCCATATTTACATATTATAACATTTTCCTAAAACTTATTTTATTTGTAGATAAATGTCGCACATTTAATTCCTGAAAAATGAGTTCCTCTTAAAGGCTCAGTAAAGGTATCCATGTTTGAGATAAAAACAAATTTATTGATTGATGACTGAATTTCTATTCATCTTTGAAGTTTCTCTTTACATGCGGTGAGTTCCAGTACCAGGTGTGCACATCCATCTCCTTTGTAGCAAATGGAAGCTATGAGGTCCCCCTATGAGTCCTTAATGGCTCGGGAGTGTCCTCTACTAATCGTGATTGAGGTTCCGTGATTCACCTGGGAAGAGTCGGGTTGCCTGGGATGAGCCCAGGCTACTCCCAGGGCTCTGGGCATTGCCAGGCTCTGGCTACTTTATTCCTTGGATACATTGGGCACTTTCTCACTACTAAATCCTCCTCTTCAGGAGAGTGGGATCTGGATTTGTCTCTTTTCAAAGTCATCTTTCATTACACACGAATATTGGCTGCACCTCGAACTTGGCTGTGAACTGATTATTCTCACCAGGGCCTGTTAACGCAAATTCCATCACTCCCACAGCTAAAAATAAATCATATTTAACACTTAGAAGCAAAATTCCAGGCAAATGTATAATCTGATTTGATTGAGTCTTTGTTGAAAATGTTAATGGTGAAATCAAATGCTTACCTTGAAGATGAAAGATTGATTCCTTCCTTTCTCTGACAAGGTGGATGGATAGAAACCAGTTTTACCCATCAATGGCTGTAATCAGAGAGGTCGGTAGATGCGTATGCATCAGAAATGCCATTAGTTCATCTTGGCATGCGCATTTCCCCCCATTTGTGGCACACTGTCATTGAGGATCAGTCTAATATTTAAACTGTGACGCTCCTTTAAGGATTTAGGAATATTTAGTGCTTGCAGCCAGTGTCTGTGTGGTATGAAAACATACTGCGCCTAGGATTTACAGATATTAATCGTAGTTATCTGTGAGAGATGGGATTATAGATGCTTTTGAATTTTCTTCCTGGCTGGAGGTGTAGCTTACTGGTGGAGCACTTGCCTAGCATGCACCCTAGAAGTCCTGAGGTTGGTCCCCAGCACTGGAAATAAATAAGTTTAATAATGAATATACATTACTTTAAGAAAACAGCCGGGCACAGTGGCACATGCCTGTAATCCCAGCAGCTCGGGAGGCTGAGACAGGAGGATCTAGAGTTCAAAGCCAGCCTCATCAACTGTGGGGCACTAAGCAACTCAGTGAGACCCTGTCTCTAAGTAAAATACAAAATAGGGCTGGGGATGTGCCTCAGTGGTTGAGTGTCCCTGAGTTCAATCCCTGTACCCACCCACCCCCAAAATATAAAAGATTTAAACTTTTTAAAAAAATATATTTTTAGTTGTAGATAGACACAACAACTTAATTTTGTTCATTTTTTTTTAATGTGGGGCTGAGTGCTCTACCACTGAGCCACAAACCCAGCCCTCAAAGTTTTTTGACTGTAACCAAAGTAAATATATTTTAAATTTCTGACCCAGAACACACGTGCATTTGTGTATTTATAAAATTAAGACAAGAGTTTCGTGAAATATCAGTTAACCTTTTTGTACTTGTCCTAGATGTTTCTTATTTTTTAAATCCTGTTTTATTAAAAAGAAAGAAAGGCAGGAAGGACAGAATTCATGTATTAATCAACTGAAATGACTTCATGAACTGCTGCTGGGAGAGTTGAAAAAGACTACCATGCTGGGGCTTGAACCCAGGGCCTCGAGCATGCTAGGCAAACGCTCTACCACTGAGCCACATCCCCAGCCCTTTTTATTTTATTTTGAGACAAGGTCTCACTAAGTAGCTAAGACTGAACTTGAACTTGCCATCCTCCTGCCCCTGCCTCTTGAGTAGCAGGAATTACAGGTGTGTGCCCGCATGCCTGGACAAAAATGACTCATTTTAGTGTAATGGTTGCCAGTCTAATATTTTATGGGTCAATTAAAAAAAAAAAACCCTTTGGGGATTGATATAAGTCCATTCACTTTTTATATTGTAAAGTAAGGATATTTTAAACCTTCCTAAGTAATCATTTCTAGCATCATTATTCTTATATTCATTTGTTATCAATTTGTTGAATCTATGAATTTTGTGAATCAGGGGTATTTTCATATAAACATATCCTTGGTCTTACCTCAAGCTTTAATTCCTCCCATCTTTTAATGTCCTTTGGCCTCTGTGCAGCCCCAGCCCTGTTCAGGACAGGGACCTGGCTTGTCTGGCAGTTTGGCTCTAGGGTACAGTTAAACTGAAAATATTCCTTGATAGTACAATGAGTTTGCACCGTGAGCTTGCCGTTTCTAAGTTGTGGTTTTGGCTAGAGTTATTAATAAAGACTTGGACACTGAGCAGAATACTAAGAATAAGAAAAGGATATGCTTAAAATAGATCTCTTGTGCTTCTATTTGGTGTCATGGTAATCTGTAAAACTGGGTGGGGAACCTAGCCAGGCACTGTACCACTGAGCCACACCTCCAGCCCCCAGTCTTCTGTCACCTCGAATGCTAACATAGACTTCTTCCCGACCACAACTTAGAATCATAAACGTGAAGAAATGCCTGATTCACACGTCTCCACACATTGGATATCTCCAAGGAAGATTTGTCATTCTGCAAGATGAATCACTCTGAAAAACTTTTCCTTCCTTTGTCTTGAGCCATGACTTTCTTGACAGATAGCTGTAACTGTATTTCTGCAGCACTTTAAAGTCTCTTTAGCTCCTGCGGACTCCATCAGCTTCTGCTCTCTCTGACCACACCCACCCCACCTCCTATTTACCAGGTGGATTCTCCCCCAAAAGAACACAGTCCTCTGCAGCTCTTGGGAAACTGAGCTGGGTGTTCCTGAAGAGAACAAATCTCTAGATGTTTTCTATAATAATAGCTAACATTTTTGTGGGCTTGCCATGTTCTAGAAACTTCGTTACAAGCTTGCAGAACATGATTTCATTTAATTCTTAAAAACAAAAAACCCACAAGAAACAAAACAACCTTCCCTATTTTGGCTTCTTCAGAGATCTTTGTAAGTGTCAGGGGCTCTTTTGTATGGATTTCAGGTTGTACTGAAAGCTGTTTTACTCATTCAGCCTACCTCTATTTATTGAGTGATTATTATGTGCCAGATAGTTGTCTGGACACAGACACAGCAGTGACTCTAAAAATCTCCATGCCCTCATGGTGCTTATATTCTGGAGGGTGTTGGGGAATCCTGACATGACCTATGAATGTAGAAAACCAATAAGTTAAGGCGGGAAGAAGGACCTGAGAGTAGAGTTGGGCAAGTGATGGGCAAGGTCTTTGAAGCACCCACATTCAAGCTGAGTCCTGACTGAACAGCAGCAGCTGCACTTGTAGACATTTGGCCAAAAAAGCCATTTGCTCCTGCTCTAAATGGTTCTTCCTTTTCTGTCTTTTTTTTTTTTAAAGTAGTTTCCCTGTCTCCTCCTTGCCATCAGCCTCAGATAGGGACTTGGCTGAGCCAGATCAAGGGAAGCGGGAGCCGGAAGGAGGTGGAGCTACAAATGGGGAGTAGAGATAGCAGAGGCCTTAGCCGCAGGCTGTGGGAGTAAGCATGGACCAGGCACAAGCCCATACCTGCTTATGGGCAGGTGCATATGGGCCTTCCTGGGCGATGGGAGCACCCCGCCTTTTGCAGAGGGTACAGCCAAGAGTTGCTGGTATTGGCACAAGCAGAAGTCCAGGCTGGATGGGAAGGTGATCAGTCAGCTGATAACTCTGCAGAGAGGGCTCTGCATCCTATGCCCACAGAGCATTTCCAGAGACCACTCTGCCGTCCCTGAGTGACACCTGCCTCTTTCGATCTGGTAAAGCCTGACCATTTGCAGGTGCCTCTTCTGCCTGGGAACCCCGCTGCAAAGGGAAGCGTCTTTCCCCCCCTGCAGGCAGTTTCCCAGAGGCCTGTTACAGGCAGTCTTTATTGAGCCCCCTAGTCCACCCTGGAGTCCATAGGGAGGCTGGCCAAGGGTTAGAAGCCCTGAGCTCAGGCTCTAGAGTCAGACTGCCTTGGTTTGACCCTGGCTCCCTTTGGGCAAGTTGGGCACCCTCAGTAACTCATGTGTAAAATGTAATTTATAATAGTACCTAACTTAAGAATCTTGTGAAGAGAAAAGCCACCCAGCAGTCTCTGGCCCCGAAGTGTTGCTGGTTTGATATGTTAATTTCCCTCACTGAACCGCCCAGTCCTCCAGGAAGTCTGCAGTTTTGTAGTCCCAGGGCTACGAAATTCACTCAACAAACATTTACTTCCAGGCCCTGGCATGCAGGGGTTGCAGCCACTAAGAACACAGACAAATTCTTGCCCTTTTGGGGCTGCCATTCTGCCAGTGGAGACAGACTATAAGCTGCTGAACACAGATATAAATAATTCAACTTCAGATAGTGGTAAGGGCTAAAAAGAAAAAAATAAATTGGGGTAACATGATCACTGACCTAAGATGTGTGCATATGCGTGGAAGGTGCTCCGAGGAGGCTTTGGCAAGGATTTCACGTTTGAATAATGATTAGACTCAAGTGACAACCTGGGGGACAGTGCACCAGAGAGGAATCAGCCAATGCTGGAGTGACCTTGGTGTGTTCGAGTAAGGTAAAGCAGGAGGAGAGCAGAAGGCGGGAGGCAAGGGAGGGGACCCCCTGGGCAGGCTGTGCAGACAGAGCCTTGGGACTGGCGGGGAGTTTGGAATCTGTCCCTCTTGCGATGGAGCTGCAGAGAGTTATCAGCCCAGGAGGGAGGTACGCTGATGTGGGAGTGTTTGCTGTGTGGTGAGCTTTGCAAGGTTTGAAAGCAGGGGTAAGAGACCAGGAAACCAGGGAGGGCCTGGGAGCCCTGGAATTGTGGGGATACATCCTGATGGCCTTTGCTGGGAAGGTGGGTTCAGTTTTTAATGATGACCTTCTGTCACAGGTTGATTAGTGTCCCCTCAATTCATGTCCACCTAGAACCAATTTGGAAATAAGGTCTTTGTAGATGTAGTAAGCACCTCAAGATGAGATCATCCTGGATTCAGGGTGGGGCCTATTTCTAGTGATTGGTGTCCTCACGAGGAGAAGGCACAGAGACATGGAGAGGAGGCATGTGAGGACACAGCGGAGGCTGGAGTGATGCAGCTGCAAGCCAAGAAGTGTCTGGGACCACCAAAAGCTGGAAGTGGCAAGGAAGTCTCCTTCCCTAGAACCTCTGGAGGGAGTTGGACCCTGCTGACACCTTGCTTTTATACTTAGGCCTACCCCAGAACTAGGGGAATACATTTTTGTTGCTTGGTAACCAGCTTGTGGCACTTGGTTACTTTGCCCCCAGGAAACTGACATAATGACTGACAGGTCACTAGTCTCTTAGGAAGATTTGTATTGGGGTGGGAGACACAGGAGATGGTCTGATCAGGACCCATGGCCACTCTGTCGACCTCCTTTTAGCCCTGAAAGCCGATCATACCAAGAACTCAAAGAAGCACTAGGAGTCCAGGGGAGGCCCCTCATGAATGAATGAATGGGCCTGAGAGGGGCTGAACCTGGCCTCTGGGTCACTCTTACAGAGCCTCAGCCATGGTAATTGTGACTGGCCACGTGCTGAGTGTAGACAGGGTCACCACCCCTCTGCTGTGTGCCTTCTAAGCTCCTCTGGACTAAGAAACCAGATTAAGATCTTTGTTAAAATTTCTGTAAAGAGGACGCGTTTCCTGAGCAAGGGGCTTGACGCCTAGAAGGTGTGGGTTTTAGAATGCGGACTTTGTGCCATTGATTTTTTTTTTTTTTTTTTTTCTGGGCACAGAAATGATGGTTCCTTCCTCCTTTCAGATATTCCTCCAGCCAGTTAGAAGAATGGGAGATGCAGTCCAGAATCAAAACCGCCCGCCCCAGCAGCTGAGAGCAGGCCTGTGGGCAGCTTCACTGCTCCTATTCTCTTGTGTTCACAGTTGAAAGTACCGAAAAAGGAGAGGAAACATGAGGCCACCAATGTTTAATTTTATCGTAATGCTGCCAGAAGTCCACCCGCTGTGTTCCTATAAATTTCTCCTGGCCTGTCCTTGCAGAGAGTACAGGGACAGTGATTGGGTACTTTTTTCCAATTAGATAATGAACTGCACTCCCCACAAAACTCAGGTCCAAATGGCAGGGCTCCACAGGGCGTGGAAACCCAGCCCTTTGTCTTGGTGACACAAGCACCTGGTTAGGTTTGGACACACAGTAGATGCTGAATGTTTCCGTAATTGAAATCAGGATGAAAGGCAATACACGAGGTCCACAACCTAGCATGTCCTTTTACTTATGATTTTTCTACTTTACAGTGGTGTGGGACTTTGAATTTTGATATTTTCCTGGGTCAGCAATATGAAGTCAGATATTGTCTTAAGATGCTGGACAGCTCTAGGCAGCTTCCAATCAGCCATGGATGAAGAGAACATTCCACTTATGATGTTTTTGGCTTTGATGGGGCTATCAGGATGTAACCCATTGTCAATCCAGGAGAATCTCTACTTTATTTGACTGTACAGTCAGGAAGCATCTGATTTTCCTAGGAAATTGATCAGGCATGCATTACCTGGATGGCATCCGTTTCTTTCTTTTCTTTTTCTTTTTTCACGTCATTTTGTTGCTAGGAACTTTGCAGTGTTCCCATATTATGCTGCTCTTTCTTCCTAAAAAGAGTCTCTGCTTATATCCAGAGTCTCCAATTATATCCAAATGTTCTTTGCTTTCTAATGTTACCAAAACCCTGCTCCACACACTGTCTTCTCTTTCTCCCCAC